GGGCCCCCCGGCCCTTGTGTGCCCCCCCCCCCCGCTGCCTCTGCAGACGCTGCGGAAGGAGCCGCTGGTTGTCACGCGGACGGAGGCGGCATGGCACCCACCAGCCTGGTTTGTGGCCGTGCTGACTGTCTCCAGCGCCCTGCTGCTGGCCGCCCTGGGCTGTGTGGCCCGGAGCCTGCTGTGCAGGTGAGCCGTTGCCCCATGGCATGGCGCAGCACGGCACAGCATGGCACGGCACAGCGAGCAAGGCCAGGGGCTCACGGCTGCCTTCTGCTCCTCCCGCAGCAACCAAGACCGTGGCAAGCTGCTCCAGGGCAAGAGGTGGGTGCTGCGTGGCCAGGGCCATTGGATCGGTGGCGAGGGACAACCGTGCACTTTGGCACAGGCTCCCATAGTGTCCTCGCAGGCAGCTGGGAGATGCAGTGTGTGTGGGGTGTTTAACGTACCCCGTGTTTGGCTGTGGTCTCTGGGTTGCTGCACCGGGAAGCCATCTCTGCCCCGGGGTGAGGGTGCAGCACTGACGGGAGCCATGGGTGCAGAGATGGCGATTTGGCCGGGGGACAGCCATGTCGATGGACGGGCTGGGGCAGAAACTCTGCGGTGGGCAGGGTGGGATGACACAGCGCTGGTGCTGCTGCCTGCCACGGGTCTGGGTCCTGGTGCCGGGGCTGGGGCTGCTATGGCTCACTGGGGGAGCCCCAATTTGCTGGGGAAGGCACCCCAGGAGGAGGTGAGCAGGCTGCACACCCCCTGGGAGGATGAACCATGGGTGAGAGCCGGCGGAGGGGAGAGCCCGAGGAAGCACTGGAGCCGGCCCAGCCTGTGCCAGGCGTCTGCAAGGCGAGGAGGAGGCATGCAAGCTTGCGGGCAGGGTAACAGCCGCCTCCAAGCAGCGTAACCACCCCAGGGTGATGCACGGCTGGATCCATGTTCATTGGTGAGGTTGGGGATATGGTGCTTGGTGGCACCGGGGCTGTAGCGACCATGAAAGGGAGAAGACTCGAGCTCAGCCCCCGCGGGCAGCGCTGGCAGCAGGACAGCTCCAGGGCTGCAGGTCCCCCAGCACAGCATCCTCTGAGCACAACAACAGTGTGCACCGGCACGTGGGGAAAACAAGCAAGCATGCTGGCAGACCGGCTTGCCGCTCTCGGGCATCCCTGAAAGGCGGTGGAAGCACCACGGGTATGGGGGGCACAGCCCTCACCGCAATCCCCTTCGGCACCCAGGGCCATGCCAGGGACACCAGGGCTGGGTGAGGGAACGACCAGGTAGGTGGAAATCAGTCGGGGCGATGGGCTCGATGGGGCGCAGCCGTTCAGCGCAAAGCCTGGCTGGCGACCCACTCCTGGCAGCATCCTTCGGGGGTCGAGGCTGGGGGCCTGTCGCCAACGGCGTGCCTTCCCCTCGCCCCTTCCGCAGCTCCTGGGACGTGGCGGAGCAGAGGGGCGGCG